TCATCCGATTACATGTCGCTCCATACATGTTCCCCACACTCACAGATCTTATTCTGTTTACGCCGACATCAATTTCTACGATCGATGCGGCGGATGAATTTCTTCTCGTTCTTAACCTACTCGCGTTGACGAACAAGGATGGCAACGGCCAGGACGATGGTATATGTCTCCGCTTCCCCGGCTCCTGGCTCTCTCCCCCACCACCCGATCTCTCGATCGAGTGCATCTCATCCGTCATCATCACAGGGGATTTTATTCTGGATGTTGACGATTTTGTTGGATTTCTCGCACCGTTCGAGCCAGGATTGAAGATGCTGGAGGTGCAGCCCGCGGCGAAGCGGACGTTTCAGCATATTCAATTCGTGGATGAGTTGCGCGGGAGGGTGCGGTGGTTGGATGGAATTACTTGTTTGAGGACTGAGTATGTGAGAGGCGATGTTAAAGGATTCGCTGAGGGAAAGGCGCCGGAGAAGGCTGATATCAAATACGATGACGAATAATTTGGAGGTGAACTGCCAACATCCGGATCGGATGAATTTGAATGAATTGCTCAATTTATGTTCGTACGTTGCGGAAGTTCTTGATGTGTTTCTGCAGCTAATTACCGCCTCAGTTTATCGGGTCTCTTTCGCCGCGCTCGAGGCAATGAGGGAGCTGCGGAAGAGAAACGAGAAGATGGAGATCCACGTGGGGTTCCCAACAGTTAATCTGTTGGACGATAGGATTGAATTGTATTGATTATCTCTCCAGTTTGTCGCTCTCAATTCATGATTGTCAAGGATCTGTTTGCAGGTTAATTCAGACACTCATACCAAATGGGCGGGGAGCACGTAAGGAAGTAGAATTCGATCCGTACTTGCAGATATCATGCACTATAGGGACGAGGACCTTTGTATTCCATTGTCTTAAGAGACTAACTTTCATGTATTCTTCGCGGTTTCCAAGTTGTTGCAAGGCGTGAGTCTACACTGCTTACCCAAACCTGACGATCAGGGCAGGATCTCTCGGACCTGTCGCGGTCCGCCGCCGGGGAATTCAAGGAAGGAGAAAAACACAGAGTCAGGTGACCGCGTTTTACGGTAAGCACCATGTTGCCATGGTCACACTGGTGCCTCAACTGTATGTATCTCCCTCAACTGGCAATTCTTAGAACGTTCAAGTCGAATTGTGAGGGCATTCACATTTAGCCCAGACATTACCACACCCCGCGAATTAGCCCTATATTTTTCTGTTTATTCCATCAGCAAAATTTGGTTCAATTTTTTAGTTGCCGAAATGCCGCCGAGTGATAGTGATCAATAAGAGTCACCAGATCCTTCTTGCCTCCGACCACCATGTCGCACCAAGAAGAGAGGATGTCTGAGGCGGCTACAAGAAAGCCTACGCCCCTTCCAAGGCTACAACTCTTCATTCTCATCCTCATCCAGTTCTCAGAGCCAGTCACTGGTCAGTCTTGGATATTTTTTCTCGCTGAAATTTAGTTCATTGGCCCATTGTAAATTCAGCCTTGGTCATCTACCCATTCATTATTCAATTCGTCCGAGATACCGGCGTCACCGGAAACGATGAAACAAAAACGGGCTACTATGCTGGATTGATCGTACGCATGCCTTATTTCGCGTTGTGAGCAGCCTACTAACTGTGACAAGGAATCCGTTTTCTTCCTCGCAGAATGCCTGACGGTGGTCTACTTCGGACGTGCCTCCGATAAATTTGGACGTCGTCCTGTACTCCTCTTTGGTCCCATCGGGCTCGCAATCGCGATGTTTGGGTTTGGCCTGTCCAAACGATTCTGGAGTCTCGTCGTATGGCGCTGTTTTCAAGGCGCTTTCAATGGGAACATCGGTAATTGACTGCCCGGCCGTTCTAATCGATCTCAAATGCTGATTGTCTTTAGGCGTTTCGAAAAGTGTGATGGCAGAAGTGAGTTTGATCTTCACCGTTGTTGATAGGTTCCGTTGACGCGACCGAAAGATATCGGACTCCACAAACGTAGCTGAAATTTATTCCTTGCTTCCGTTCATGTGGGCTATTGGAACCTCAGTTGGGTTCGTTTGTTTCCCAAATGTTCGCGTTATCGACTTTGATCTGATTGTTCTGTATGAAGGCCGTTCATTGGCGGCTCGCTAGCGAATCCTGCCAAGCGGTTCCCGGATTCCTTAGGCAAAATCGCTCTCCTAAGAGAATACCCGTATTTCTTGCCGTGCGCCACAGCCGGTGCGCTGGCCCTATTTGCATTCGTCATTGGTTTCTTTGGTCTGAAAGAGGTAGGCGTATTTCTTCTGCCGCCAATTGCTTTGGAATCTTCACGTTGATACAAATTCAGACCTTGCCATCCGCAGTTGCTCGTCAACGAAAAGCAAAGACTGCCACGGAGACGGAGCCTCTACTTGCTGATTCCACCTTCACAGCATCACCAGTGGACGAAGAGGAAGCGCCCGTCCCGCCGCTACGTGACCTATTCATCAGCCCAGTCATCATATCACTCACCAGCCACGCACTGCTGTGTTTCTGCGAGAGTTCTTATGAGGTATTCAATATATAACCCGTTGTGTCAGTGGTAATCATAACCATTAGGTTCTCATGCCGTTGATATACGCCACACCTATAGATACGGGCGGACTTGGTCTGAGGTACGTTGATTTTTGCAATTCAGCGATTGAATCATGCATTTATCTTGCTTCCACGACATCCCAGCCCGCTATACATAGGCCGAATCATGGCCGTCCTCGGCCTCCTGAACATCTTCACCCAGCTCTTTCTCTCCGCGCGCGTCATCCGCTACCTCGGCCCCCGCACAATATTCATCACAGCGTTCGCCTGTATGGCTTACTCCTTCCTCGCCTACTCTCTCCTCAACCTCTTCGCGCGGAGAGCAGGGAGGGTCGATGGCTGGGTGGTAGCGGTGCTGGTCACGCAATGGGCTACGAGTTTCGTTATATACCCGACCTTCGGTGCGTGCTATGCCAATTCTGTCTCGGCTCATTATTCATTCGTTTTATTTTTTGCCTCTTTTTCACAGCTTGTACACAGATATTCATCGTCAACTCTGCTCCTTCACCGAATACTCTCGGCGGCGTCAACGGTCTTGCTCAAATGGTCGGCTCCACGACGCGGAGTATCGCTCCTTCCTTCGCGTCGTCAATGTTTGCCACTTCCATCAAACATAACCTGCTGCAAGGAAATCTGGCGTTTTTCATGTTGAGTGCGATCGCGGCGTATGGGTTTAGGTCAGCGTTTTTGTTGCCGAAGAAGCTGCGCGGAGAGAGCTGAGTGGGCCGTCTCATGAAATCGATCCAAATCTGGAAGGCTAGCTAGAAGCCGTGGCGTAGATATCTCACCGGATGAGTCGTGCATCATCGTCTTATCCACCGTGTATGTCGTATACTCAACTATAGACAGACATGTATCACGGTAGTTTCCTTGCTTTTCGATACGTCGGTGGACATCAATCAGTGTCTTAGTGGCGGAAAAGGAGCAAATGTGCGGAAGCAAAACTGTCTCACTCTCGAGGCTGGAGTTCAATGTGGTGATCAAATCGCTCCTCTTCATCTTTCCTTTCACCACTTCGACTATCGATCTATCACCATAATGTCTGTTTTTGCTCTCACTTCTCCCTCTTGCGGCGCGGCTGGCCCGCCCGCATCTGTTCTCTACGATATCTTGGACTATTGCTCTTCTGATACTCCTGATCCTGCTTTCGACTCTCCTGCTCCCGCCGTCGTTGTTCCCACGCCCACCTCCTCTTTTGTCCGTCCGAAACTTTCTACCAAGGCGGTCAGAGATCTCCCTGCTCTCCTCGCCCAGGCGAAAGCTAAATCACACGCCACTACTACCACTACTACATCTAATTTGGATCCGCTTTCTTCTTGTTTTGCATCAAACGAGGTAAATACGATGTCTCACTCCCCTTCCCTCAGTTTCAAAACCATAACTCACTTCTCGCTCTGTCCAGACGTCGTCCGGGACTCCCATCGGCCTCGGTATCCTCATCCGCTCGTCGAGTCCCAGCTCGCCGACCTCGCCTCAGCTCAAACTCCTCTCCCCGCTCGAATACCGCCAGCCCTCCCCTGCGCTCGGCAGCCACCACGATATCCCACCGAACTCACTGTGTCGCAGAATCCAGCGTAGTGCGGCGCCGCTCATGGTTCGCAGCGGCACCGTTCTCACACAGTCCAATACGAAGTCCGTGTCACCAGCCGTAGCGAACCGCGCGTCGAAGTACACTGGTCTCGGACACGGGCTCCCCACTTCGTTCAAGGAGACCACAATTAGCCCCACGATAACTTCACCTGCATCTTACCGATATGTCTCTTCTCCTCGCATCGTATCCGTTATCCTCTCAGCACCTCCCGATCATCTGCACGCCCAGTTCCATCCCGAAAATACACAAAAAATAGCGGCACGCGTGTGGGCGGCTGCTTCTCGTCGATTCGAAGCTCTGTTGAACCAAAAATCCAGAAATAAAGGTGGCGAGGAAGCGAAAAATACGAAAACCTAGAAGGAATGACGTTGAAGCGGGTCAAGGTCGGGGTCTGTTGTCATCAGTAGAGAATAAACAGAAAAAAGGGTAGAATGATTCAATCGAGACTGAACTAAATATGTTGTCTTGATATAATATGTCTACGTCCATCCATATTTGAATTTCCCGTATGCCAGCCCCAGGATGTTTGGAAATCAACAGGGACGTGAGCAGAAGTTCCGAGTTTGGGGGTCATTGCGATAATCACGCCACCGTGTTTCTCTGAACACGATCACGTGACAATGCATCCGCTTGCTCCGTGACGCGACCGGAGGAACGTCGAAGTAAGACTAGACTGGGCGTCCTTTACTTGGAATTTCGGGCATGATGGCTGATATCGTCGAGATGATATTATCATATCAAAGATATATATGTTGCAACGGGGCGGTCAGAGCAATACACTCCGGCTAACACTGACCTCTTATGACTCATTCGATGTAAGGATGACTGAGGGTAAAAGAAAAAAAAAAGCGACAAAGCGACCCGGCGGGAATTGAACCCACATCTTCTCCAACCACCAGCAGTTTAGGGTCAGGGAGCAGAGATATCGTACCGTTGGACCACGGGCCACGAAAGAGAACCACGATTCGAGGTGGTAGATGACAAATGCTGAAACAACTGCTCAAGACGCAGAGCGGGTTTACACGAAGAAATTCAGCAGGGCCATACAAAGGATGAGAATTGATGCATATTGATGTTCGGCTTTGCACAGTATCGGCAGATTACTATGCGTTGACTTGAAGTGGGTCTCAGCTCTACAAAGAAACTGAGAACTCCATGCGAGTGACTCTTGAGCTCATTACCAGAGGTAGACTCCATATTGCACAGTTAAGGCACAGCAAAGCCATAGATTAAACTGGAGTACTTACGTGTTTGATGGCTCACTTTCAAAGTTATCATTCGATCGAGAATTGTACCGCGGGTTGCGCGACTCTGTTGGTGATGCAAAACAATCTGTAACTACAACTCAGTGCCCCGACGAGAATCGAACTCGCAATCTCCGGCTGATCATTCGCATTCATGGTATAGCCTGCGCGGTGTCGTACCATTAGACCACGGGACTAAGTTCTGCAGATACTCCACGACTTTGCACGGATTTTCCACGTCGCGTCAAAGGAATCGGGTCATCCATCCAGATCTTGACAGAGACACTTTGTCCGTGAAGAGGCAGAGAAGAAAGCCGGTGAGAAAAAAATAGGGCCATTATCGGAAACATCGTGTTCGCTATATTGTTTATAACTTCCCGGATGTTTAACTTATCCAAGTTTCAGTATAGCAATCACGCTGCAGCGAGGCAAAGCTAATCTACAGAATACCCTGAACCGTAACTGGAAGTCGTCAGTTGTGCAGGCGGAATTTGATCGTTTGAAAGGAAAGAAAGAGAAGTAAAATCGATTTACGCGGTATTTATTCTTGCTGTTTTTCTTTTGGAAAAACCTTGAATTGAGTGCTGCAGGAATACCAAACATAGTACAGGTCGAAAAGTATGGCTGTAATACTGGGGCATAATTATTTTGCGCCCAGCTTTGTGAAAATTCACACAGGTCGAGTGCAAATCAGCACAAAAATACACAGCTACCGAGGGTGCAGCAAAAACACACACCTTTTTGTGCAGGAAAAAAGGACACAGCCCCATGTCCTGCAGAAACCCACACAGGCAGTAGTTGGCGTTCAAAATCGGGCAAGTCAAAGCGCTGACGGATCACACGGATCAAAAGAAAATCTTCCGGCATCACAAATCCGCTCACCAAACACACTCAGTGCCCCAAGTGAGCACTACCAGGTTCGTTTTAGACCATAATGATAGCTTTGACATTAGCTAGAGACAAAGGCACGCTTCCGACAGCTCTGCATTAATAATACTACCTCATCTGTTGAGGAAGCACTTGGTGGTATTTGCAGATTGCTTCTTCGTCGTATTTGGCCGGCCATGCAATATTCAGTCTTCAAAACCAAAGTCTACCCTCTCCATGTAGGCCATACATCTTCGAGGAATTATAACTGCAAAGATCGAAGACACATCACAAATATGCTCAGGCCATCACTTCGGCAAGAGCCAGTACATCGGCAATGTGACGAACCTTGAACTTGTGCGTTTTTAGTAACCTTCAAAAGTGTGCATTTTTTGTGAGGTGTGTATTTTTGCGGCGCATGCACACACCTGTGTAAATTTTTTGTGTAAGCTGTGTGTTTCTTATGCTAGGTTGTGCGTTTTTTCATCGAAATTGGACATAATTATGCCCCAGTATTACCCCCAAAGAAAAGATCTTGCGTGCAATTTTCAATTTTGTTGTTGCAAGTCAGTCCGGCGATCAACCAAATCTGATCGGCAAATAACTCTTGCTCTCAACCTCCATGACCACCGACGTCTTTACCAGCATTAGGAGTTTTCTTTGACGCAGTTCAACCTCAGGACCCGTTCTCTCTTCCCTGGACTCTGTGTATTGGATTGCCGCTGGATTTACTTCATTTGCGGAGCCGCCACTAGAGCAGCTGAGCTGGCAAAATAAATTTCCTCAAATCTCAACGATACATGAATCTCCGAGGCGGTACTTACTTTCAACTTTCAAAAGATCTCAGTCGGATTAGTTGAGAACTGTATCGATTGGCGTATGAATAACCTCTGAGGTGTGCCACTCATCCTTTCATATTGCGAGGTTCTAACTGCAAAGTTCCCTGAGTCCCTGGTGGTATCAATGTAATTAAAGTACTGCCGTTTGCTTAATTCTGTGAAATCCTCGAAAATTTCCGCGGTGTCACGTGATCTGATGCATTATTATGCCGCAGCCTGCCGGAAGGTCGAATTTATTATCATTGCTCGAAAATCGCGGTATTGCATGGAAAGTGCTGCCCAGAATCCTTTGATATCCTTCTACGCTCTCGCTGATTCATTTTTGCTCAACATACCACAGGTATAATAATATCGGCTGCTGCGGCATCCGAATGCCGAACACCACGTGACTCCGCGGAAATTTTTGAGGATTTCACAGAATTAAGCAAACGGCAGTATTCAAGCTATCACACGAATCGATTCCATTCACAACTTCACCGTCGTTATCCACTCCACAGTCCGCTTCCACCCGGATCATAAACACGTTTTTCGCGCGTGCCCGGCTAAATTGGGACGATGCTATCGCGTTGCTTCATAACGCTTCCACGATCTCCACCTCCATCCACCCACCGCAATCCAACCCTTCCATGTACGCCAGTACGACACCGATATACGGTGCCCCGCGCCCGATCCCGTCCGATGGAAGCCGCAGTCCGAATCTTTCTGCTGCTAGCCTAGGCTTCGAGGTCGAACATGTCTCGAGACCACCCTCTGCGATGGGAATGAATCGGCCTCCAGAGCCTGTGTTGGATCCCGAATTCATGTATCGCGAACACGTATCGAAGCTGATTGGTGCGAAGTCAAGGCCGTGTAGTGTCTCGGGGAGGATCCCGCTCGATCCGTCTCATCTGGTGCTGTTCTTTCGATCCAAGGTGCGCTCCATGAAATTATTACGTCTATGTTTCTGTGATCACAATTCATATAGACCGGAATAACTCATTCTCTGGACTTCCCTATCGATATCGACTATAACACCCCACCTGCGCTCGACGTTCTCATCGCCGCCTGCAAAAGAACGCAAACTCCAGGCTACGACACACAACTATATGAATCATTTTACTATCCACCCAACCTCCCACTCACCCCCTCTCTCGAGATCGCCAACCATCCTATCCTCGATGCTATCCGGAAAATGCTTTTCCCAACGCTCGCCGTCGGCCACCACCTCACCCGGCTCACCGTCCGCCGAGAGAAGCTCGACGTCCTCCTCGCAGGCAGCCGCATGCCTCCACAATTACGCGCAATGAACAACGACGGGCGCGTCGCCACGCTTTCCATCACCCTCCCCGTGCGCTTCCGCGGCGGATCCCTCGTCATTCGGGACAGCGAGGGGAGACAGGAACGGCTCGATACCGCCGCGCCCACGAGCGATTTAGAGTGGACGGCCTTCACGGGAGAGTGCGATTATGAGGTGGAGACGGTTACGAAGGGACTGAGGATGTCCATCTCTTATGCTGTTTTTGCGAAGTCGTTTGGCGCGACGACGGCGCTTACTCCGGATCCGCTTTTCACGCCGAACCAGCCTTTCCTCGATCTGTTTCCTCCTGTGTTGCAGATGTCTCGTGGTCGGAAGATCGGGTTCCTGCTCTCACATGATTATGATGTGGATCCGTCGGTTGTGTTGGCAGAGGCTTTGGTACCGCTCGTGAGTGTTGTCTTATTTTCTGTCCTGTTATGCATTTTCGCTGATCATTTTCTCCATGTACCTAGCTCCGAGGCGGCGACTCGATGCTCTACCAAGCCTTCAAACTATTCAAACTCGCACCAATGCTGCACTGGACTGCGGGAGGCTACATCTGGCCCGTCGACCGTCCCGTCGAGCTCTCCAACGACGATCCCAGCGCCGCTCAACGAGCAGCAAGCGGCTCTCCCCTCCCGCCCATACACGGCGCCTTCAGTAACTCCTCGCCGTTCGGCTACTCTCCCCACATGCCTGGTGCCCTTCCCGCGCAGACGACCGCGGATATGCTGCGTCTGCGCGTGGAGGAGAGCGGTGCGGTGCCGCTTGCGGCGGCGGAGGTGAATCTGTTGACGGATTGGCGCGCGCAGGAGAGTCCGCCTGTGGGGAAGGCGAGGGTGCATTTCGTGGAGGCGGGGTTGTTGGAGAAGTTGGTGGTGAATGTGGTGTTGGTTGCGTATGTACATTGAAGCATGTAGTGTTTTCTTTCTGTTATCATGAGTGGAATTTTTTCGCATTTGAAATTGATGCTTCGGCTGGAAACAAAGGGAGACCATGATAGAGCTTATACACAGTATTCTCAAGCCCGAGTGCAGAGATAGAGTCTGCGTGAAATGCTGGCATCCCGTTCGATTCGGGAACGGGTCATGCGCTCGTACCTTCGCCTCTTTCTTTTTTTGATACATGGCTTGCACTGTTCAATCCACAAAACCCACTACCGTGACTCATAACAATAATCCAACCCACGCAGAAAACAAAATAACGCAAGGGTAAATCTTACATCCCACCCAAAAATGAGATACGTCCGAGGAGTTGGTACGCCGAAACTGCGTCTCGCCCCAGAGGTTTTGAACGCAGGAGGTTTCTTGCAGAGCGAGGCATAGACACAGTCTCTCCATGCAGAATAGAGGAGGACGGCGAAATTGTTGCCTTCCGGACTGTGGAAGATAATCATTGCTTTGAGGAGAGAAATATCGAAAAGAGTGGAAATCATACCTCCCACTCGTCCACGGCATCGTATCCCACCACCCAAGCGGATTAACAGCGGGCGCCACAATCCCATCCCTCGTAACATGCGGGTTACCCGTACTATCCTCCCCAGCCAGCACCTCACGAATCCCATCCGCCCAAGCAATATACGTCTCGGCGTCAAACATATCCGAAGCATGTACCACCATGCGATACGCCACCGCAGCTAACATCGCGCTCCCCGAGATCTCGCCGAATCCATGTCCGTCTTCACCCGATACGTTGTCGAGGTCGAGGTAGTTGCGGAGCAAC